AGGTTGTCCACCAAACAACTTTCAAGATTTTGTGGAAATTCCTAGGAGGCTGTTGTTGATTTCCAGGAGATAGCCAAGATTTTCTAGAGGCTCCAGCATCTATAAATACAAGAAATCAAGATGGAGCAAATGCTAATCAATCCAACATTCAACACAATGTAGTACATAGCCCAATGCTATTTATCCTTAGTTTAGCCCTAGTTCAACTTAGGAGTAGACTTGAAAGGCATCTTTACCATAATTTTAGCCTTAGTTTCTTAGTTTGCATGACATCTGTGTCAAATTAATGGTGTTTTTTTTTTTTGGTTTTCATAGGCATTGCTTTGAGACTTAAACTGTGTTTACATTGATTTTGTAACTCAATTTCATGTTTTCAAACTTGTTTTTATATTTTTATATGTTCAATCCTATGAATTTGTGTTTAGCCAACACTTATGATTTAGTCACCCAAAACCTTTTGTGTTTTAGCCAAAACTTATGTTTTAGTCAAAAAGTATAGTTTTGTATTTTTTGCACGAACACTAACAAAATGAATAGTTTAGATCATCAAAACGATACTCATGATGAAACCCATAGCGCAAACAACACCCTTCAGTAAGGATCCTAACATGCCTATCATGATTCTAAATATTTAATTATGTGTTATTTATTAATTTTATATGTGCCATGTGATTAATTTGAGTATATCTGTTCAATTTGGAAACTCTCTATTATTCGTACGAAAATCTGTTGTGATTTTCGCTCTGAATCTAAAATTCAAGGCCTTAACGGCGCCATAAACCAAAATTGAGCACATGATTAGACTAATTGAATTTTTTAGAGCCTTATGGCAAGTTTGATCAAAAATTGATTCAAATTAATTAATTAAGTTGAGTTTAATTGGTCTAATGTTCTAATTGTTGCATTATGCTATCCTAGCTATATATTTGTGCCATAGGCTCATTTGAGCTCATTTTCCTCTTCATTGAACTCATTAAATCTAAGAGAGCTTGTAGAGAGAGAGAGAGAGAGAGAGAGCTCTCATCCAGAGAGAGAGAGTGTAGAGATTAAGGGTGAACTTCAAGATTGTTGCTAGAAGAACCAAATTTGTACAAGAACAAATGTGTTTGAAGCCTCTAGGTAAGCATTTACCTTTCAAATTTTGAAGATGATGTGTTCTAGAGTTGTGTTCATGGGTTATACATGGTCTTTTGCATGTATTTTGTCAATTAAAGGAAAGAAAGTGAAGAAGTTTTACATCCATGTATTGCTATATTGAATTTTGCCATGTTGGGTTTGAATTCTAGCATCTATGTTGAAATTGTGAGTTAATTTGTACATACATGTTTCATCCATCATGTGTTAACCTTTAAATTCAAGTGTTTGGAAAAGGATCTTGCACATACATGGAGCCTTTGACCTCAAATTGTTACATTCATAAGTTTTGAAAAGAGATCATCACATGCATGGCAAGAACATGCAGTTTTGAACTTGGTTTTGGAAAATTGATAGGGATTTGAGTATATGGTTTCATAATTTCCATGAATTTATGCATTATGAAGAGTTTCTACATGTCTCTAGCAAACCATGGAAGACCCCAAGCTTTAAAAAGTTGTTTGGAAGCCATTTTTGTTAAGTTTCGTGCAAAATTTCATAGAAGGCTCGAGCGACCAAGTGATTGCTTGAGCTAACATAGCAAGCTCCTAGTATTTTTACACTCTGCAAAAGTTAGCTAGAGCGACCAAATGGTGGCTCGAGTGAACTCAATTTATGTGATGACCCAAACCCACCCCTGGAGATTTAGACCATAACTGGCCAGTAATCACATGATTACCTTCGGCCCCGTACAAGCATACAGAATAATGGCCATAAGCGGAAGCATACAACAAATGAAGAAGACCATTGAGCTGTGCCAATATAAGCAAAAGTATAAAGCTTACACCATAACACATTCACACACTTACATGCCCATGCAAAAACTTAAGTACCATAGGAAATTTCATACATATAGTTTACATATCCCGAGACCATTAAAGCAAAAGCAAAGCAAAAGTCATAGCATGATGTGAGTCAAAGGCAAAACTCCATCTCGAAGGCATGACTCGATAGGTTCGCAAAATAGCTCCTGAAGTTGACTCTAAGAGTGGGCTTCATGCTGCGGATCACTAACATGTGCATACATAATATTGGGTGAGCAAAGCTCAATGAGTAATAATACAGTAAAACGGTGTAAATAAATGAGCATAAGGTTCTCTCAACATCCATAATCATAATACGGAACGGCCTCGGGCTCAACATAATATGGAACAACCTCGGGCCCATCATATAAACAGAACAACCTTAGGCCATCACATAAACAGAATGGCCTTAGGCCTATCATTATCAGAATGACCTTAGGCCCACATATTAACAACTATTCAGAACAACCTTAGGTCCAATCACATATTATCATATCATTAACAGAATGGCCTTGGGCCCACATATGATACAGAATGGCCTCTGGCCCACAAAATGGCGTCAAACAGAACAACCTTAGGTCCATATTGCACATGTCGTGTAACATTTATGAACTCCATTCATTTTGATCAAAACACAATGTCGACACAAAACACCATTCATGACTCAAAGTAATCAATTAAGAACATATCTTTATAACACTATTACTCACAGTGCTTTTGATCTAGCGGTGTTTCCTCCAGTACATGACCTACACAAACATGTCACACACACATTCGATAAATAATTTGTTCATTATGTACAGTTTTTTTTTAGTGATTCACAACCTTTTTCAATGGCTTCTAATCATCATTTCATTCTCTGGAGGGTTTAAATAAAGCCAAGAATGCATTCGGAAGGTTGGAAAGGTCAACACAAGAAAGTAGGATTTTCACCCCTGCTGGCCGTTCATGCAACAAGTCCAATCGTTCGAACGGTCATGATCTGCTCGTGCCGAAGTGTGAGCCACTTGAGCGTGCAAAATGCAATCCTCTGGCCTGGTTCATGTTCCGCTCATGCAGAACCCTCTGCCGCTCGAGCAAGAAGAACGCACAACTCTAGTTCGAGCCATGGGCTGCTCGTGAGGAGCCCGTAGCCGCTCGAGCGGTCTGGGCACACACAGACAATCCGAAAATGGCACAAAAATGCAAACCCTCCAAACTCATTTCCAAGCCCAAATCAAAGCAAAACTAACTCAAAAACATGATATACTAACATGATTTAAGTACAATTCCTCTTTAAGCACAACAATCTTGCCTCAACATTAAATTCATGGTCTCATCTTTTTTGTACATTCCTGAATTACATGGTCAAGCTCAAAATACATATAAACATGGTGAATCTATCAACAAAACTTGGTTGTACAAATGTCACGACCCAAACCCTCCCCTGAAAGTTCTGATCATAACCAGCCAGTAATCACTTAACTACCTTCGGCCTCAAACAAACATATAGAATAATTATAATAATGGGGCCATAAGTGGAAGCATAACACAAATGAAGAAGTCCATTGAGTCGTGCCAAAATGATCAAAATTATACAGCTTACAACATAGCGCATTTGCATATTTACATGACCATGCAAAAACTTATGTACCAAAGAGCATTCCATACATATGGTATACATATCCCAAGACCATTAAGCAAAACGAAACAAAAGTCATAACATAATGTGAGTCAAAAACCAAAAGCTCCATCTTAGAGACTCAACCAAACAGGTTCACAAAAATAACTCCTGAGGTGGACTCTACGGTTAACTTCCATGCTGATCACCCACAGACATACAACATAGGGGGTGAGCGACGCTCAATGAATAATAGTAAAGTAAAGATAATCAAACGAATAATCTTGATTTAAAAGAAAGCATATTATGTTAACACAATACTCTTCCATGTCAAGTAACTCTTGCAACTGTATTTTCAATTCCTTCATTTCTGCTTTGAAATCAGTTGAGTACCCAGCATGATATCAATAACAAATTCAATCTCATAGTCTGTCAAATCTCCCGGTAGATCCTCAGGAAATACATCCGAAACTTCTCTAACAATTGGGTATTTTCAACACTCACATCAGTTGTTTGTACATGAAGGATATTACACAAATAACCCTTATAACCTTTCTGAAGTAATTTGCAAGCTTTCATAGCCGATATCAAATAAGGTGGAGGAACTACCCCATGCCCCACAAAAATAAACCCGTGTTGTGCCAGAGGCTGGAAAACAACTCGCTTAGACAAACAATCGATGGTTGCATGATATTGAGCTAACCAATCTATCCCCAAAATTATATCAAAATGAACCATATCAAGAGGCATTAAATTAGCACATAACGGGATATCCCCAAGTAAAATCTCACATGCAGGATATAGAGAAGCACATAACATAGAGTCCCCAGATGGTGAAGACACACACAACACATAATTTAATGGTTCCATAGGTCTATTCAAATTAGGAGCAAATGTTTTCGAAACAAAAGAATGAGTGGAACCCAAATCAAGTAACACATAAGCAGGTTGGCCATTGATAGAGAGTGTACCAAAGACCACCGCCTCTGTATTCTGAACATCACTAGGAACAAGAGCAAAGACTCTCTTTTGTCTGATATTGTCTTTAGTCGTAGTAGGTCTCGTCGTAGCCTTCATTACAGGAGTGGAACCGGCTGAACTAGTAGTTGGTCTATTACCCTTTTGTTGATCCATCATAGGACAATCTCTCACCATATGCCCCATTTTCCCACACTTAATCAAGCCCCGGTTTCTCTGTAGCAAACTCCCCGATGTTTCTTTCCACACTCTAGGCAAGTTGGTGTTGAATCACGAGTAGAACCAGAAGCATTGGAAGTTCCCAAATTCTGTTTCTTGTTCTGTGGGGATGTCGACCCTTTATGCATATTAGAACCCTACCTTTTTTCCTTCCAATCTGAATATCGGCTGCAGTTAGCTAAGTTACCTTTAAACATGATGGCCCTATCCAATACGTCAACATATTTCTGCAATTTCAAAACATTAATCTTCTCAAGAATAGAATCTCAGAGTTCTCCCTCAAATTTCCTCGCCTTCTTGTAGTCCGTGTTGACCATGTGCAGTGCGAAACGGGCTAACTTGGTAAACTGTGCCTTATATTCTTCTACGATTTTGTTTCCTTGCTTCAAGTTTTCAAACTCTATCACATTCCTATCTTGAATACACGGTGGGAAATACTTTTCACAAAAGACTTCCAAAATTTCAGCCCAATTCATTCCCTGATGTTCATATCTTATCAGCATCCACCATCGGCGTGCTTCATCTTCCAATGTAAGAGCAGCAAGTAGAACTTTCTGTGCCTCAGTACACAGAGAGACATCAAACATTTTCTCAATGCCTAACACCCATACTTCTGCTTTTAGTGGGTCAATCCCTCCTTTAAACAACGACGGTTTCATCTTTTTAAACTCTTTTGTGAGTGAAATTGTTTGACCTTTACGTTGGTGGTCTTGTACTACTAGGGATGGCACATGCATTGGTGGTAGAGGTGGTTGTTGTCGCTGTTGTTGTTGTTGTTGTTGTTGTCGTCGTCTAAAAGCCTCAACCATTTCCATGATCATCCTCTCTATTCTATCAAGTCATGAAAAGGTTGACTCCTCCACTTCTTCCACACTTGTTCTCACCATGATCTATATGAACATACATTATAACTTTCACAGAAATATGCACATAAGTCACAATTACAAATGCGCATCTTTATGGCATACCTGGTTATGAATGCATTATGAATAATACTTAAGCCTTTTCTGTACTTCTTATTGCTCAAATGGACACATGTGTGAGATATTAACTCGTGCTCTGATACCACTCTATCATGACCCAAACCTGCCCACAGAGGTTTAGACCATAACCGGCCAATAAACACTTGATTACCTTTGGCCTTGTACAAGCATACAGATTAATTATAATAATGGGTTCATAAGCGGAAGCATACAACAAATGAAGAAGTCCATTGAGCCGTGCCAATATGAGCAAAAGTATAAAGCTTACACCATAACACATTCACACACTTTCCACAGGAAATTTCATACATATAGTTTACATATCTTGAGACCATTAAAGCAAAAGTAAGGCAAAAGTCATAGCATGATGTGAGTCAAAGGCAAAACTCCATCTCGAAGGCTTGACTTGACAGGTTCGCAAAATAGCTCATAAAGTTGACTCTAAGGGTGGGCTCCATGCTGCGGATCACCTACATGTACATACATAATATTGGGTGAGCGAAGCTCAATGAGTAATAATATAGTAAAGCGGTGTAAATAAATGAGCATATGGTTCTCTCAACATACATAATCATAATATGGAAGGGCCTCGGGCCCAACATAACATGGAATGGCCTCAAGCCCATCATATAAACAGAACGACCTTAGGCCCATCACATAAACAGAACGGCCTTAGGCCAATCACATAAATAGAATGGCCTTAGGCCCATCATTATCAGAATGGCCTTGGGCCCACATATTAATAGCTGTTCAAAACGACCTTAGGTCCAATCACATATTATCATATCATTAACAGAACAGACTTGGGCCCACATAGGATACAGAACGGCCTAGGGCCCACAGAACAGTCTCGGGCCCAAACATATCATGGCATAAACGGAACGACCTCAGGTCCACATTGCACATGTCGTATAATTCATTTTAATCAAAACACAATGTCGGCACAAAACACCATTCATTGCTCAAAGTAATCAATTAAGAACATATCTTTACAATACTATTACTCATAGTGCGTTTGATCTTACGACGTTTCCTCCGGCACACGACCTACACAAACATGTCACATACACATTTAACAAATAATTCGTTCATTAAGTACACTTTCCTTTTAGTTATTCACAACCTTTTTCAATGGCTTCTAATCATCATTTGATTCTTCGAAGCGTTTAAATAAAGCCAAGAATGGGTTCAGAAGGTCGGACAAGTTAACACAAGAAAGCAAGATTTTCACCCCTATTGGCCGCTCGTACGGCAGGTCCAACTGCTCGAGTGGTCATGCTCCGCTCGTGTGGAAGTGTGAGCCGCTCGAGTGTGCAGAATGCAATCCTCTGGCCTGGTTCATGTTTTGCTGGTGCGGAACCCTCAGCCGCTTGACCAAGCAGAACGCATAATTCTGGTTCGAGCCATGGGCCTCTCGTGCGGAGTCCGTAGTCGCTCAAGCGGTCTAGGCACACACAGACAATCTGAAAATGGCATAAAAATTAAAACCCTCCAAACTCATTTCCAAGCTTAAATCAAAGCAAAACTAACTCAAAAACATGGTATACTAACATGATTTAAGTATAATTCCACTTCAAGCACATCAATCTTTCCTTAACGTTAAATTCATGGTCTCATCTTTTTTGTACATTTCTGAATTAAAGTTCAAAATACATATAGACATGTTGAATCTTTCAACAAAACTTGGTTATATAAACCATCTAAAGTTCATTTCATGAATGGATCACAAGATTAAGCTCAAAACACACAAAGTTGATGAGATTCCTTCAATTTAGTTCAAACCATTACACAACCCAAAACCCTAACTCAAAAATTCACAATTTCCTCTTGATTTCAAGGAAAAGATGAGACACATACAAAGATTCTAAGTAGATTTCCACACCTTAGTTCAAATCTAGGATTTGCCCCTTAAATCTCTTCCAAAACCCTAGCTTGTCCTCTTTCTCTCTCTCTAACTCACTCTCTAGCAAAGCTCCCACAAAGATGAACTCAAGAGCTATACACATATATAACTTAAACTCATAAACCTTAATTCAATCATTACGAATCATAATTTTACAAAATTTCATAGTAGGCTTTAAAAATATTGCTAAACATAGATATGAAGTCGGTTTTGGTTTTTCGCGCTTCTATGGCTTTCAATTTCAGTTCAATGTTGTAATTGCAACAGATATTCCTACACTCAACAGATATAATTCCAAAATCACATAGTTCACATACTTAAACTTGCAAATTCATGTCAAACACATAATCACATGCATAATTAAGCATAATACAGGTTGGGTTATCACAGTTTTATCTTTAGATGGCTTTAACAACCAAAAGTTGGCTTTAGACACCGCTTTATTTTCAGCATGTTTTCGAAAGATGTTTTGAATTCATATCTTCATTCCCATCGCTTTTTGGGCATTCTTAGGCGTGAATTATAACTTATTAAGGATTAATAAACTAAGAAACAACATAAGTAAATGACTAAATTAGAAAGAGAATATGAATTGTTCAATTCGAACAATGCGTTCCAATCTATGTACATGTGAAATGTGTAGGTTTGAACATTGTGGGGGAACAACAACCTACTCGTGGTGAGTAATATCTTAGTAAAGATATTTTCTCTGGTTCAATTTTCTGATTGTATAATGTGATAATTTTTTCTGTACTTACAGGTTTGAAAGTATGAATGAGCCTTCTATCTATACACTCGATATATTATTTGTAATGTATATTTATGTTGGTCTTGAGGATGTTCTACTATTTGTCGGGCCTAAGGCTGTTGATGTATTGGGCTTGAAGCCGTTGATATATGTTGGGCCTGAAACCGTTATGCTATGTATTGGGCTTCAAGCCATTGATGTATTCGAGACAAAAAAGTGAAGACCCTACTCTAATATTTGAGAAAATAGAAAACAATTGGTAAAACTTTAGGATTTAGCTTGTTCTTCAACCTTCTTTGAAGATCTAAGGTGGATCTTGGGGAAAACTGTAAGAAATCAAGTGTTTTTAGGGTTAGGTTCGGAAATAGGGGATAGAGAGAGAAAAGGTTGGGAAAAAGTAAGAGAAAAGGTGTTTAGATTGACTCTTAAACGTGTTGTCTTGAACAGACTACTCAAGCGAACTTTCCACCGCTCGAGTGAAGTACACAAAATCAAAGAAACTGCTTGAGCAAACTTTCCATCGCTCGAGCGGTAAATACAAGGTCTCAAAAGTATTGTAGAGCTATAGTGAAAATACTGGGAGCCTCGAGCGGCCACATTATCGCTCGAGCGGTCTCGCCTGAAAACCAGCTAGATATTGGAAGTTTCGCATCACCATTCGAGCGACCGATTGACCACTCGAGCGGTCACCCAAAACAGATTGTTAAAACCTACCCCTCTCAAATAATTTCGTCCCCGAAATCTCACGACTCCTGACAATAACAACTCCGACAATTCCCAATGACGATGAATACCATATTAATAATAATTCCAACCATTACAACATCATAAATAAAAATATTTAAATCAAAATTCGAATAATGGTATGAAAGTTCAAGTCTTCTATGAATTTAACATTTTTTTTTCATTACTTCTTTCCATAAGTCAAGATGTACATTGTTAAAGAAAACAACCATCTAACAAGATTACACATTATTAAACAAGTCTGGATATTTCTCTCGGACCTCAACCTCTTGTTCCCATGTAGCTTCTTCTACCTCGTGGTAGTGCCATAACACTTTGACCAAGGGAATGGTTTTGCCCCTCAAAACTTGTTCTTGGGAATCTAAGATCTTCACAGGTCTCTCTTCATATAAAGCATTTTCATCTACCTCTAAATTTTCCAAATCTAAGACATGGGAAGGATCGGTCTCATATTTATGAAACATAGAGATGTGAATACATCGTGTACCATGGATAGTTATGGTAGTAAAGCAAGACGGTTGGCTACTTCTCCGATCCATTCTATGATATCAAAGGGACCAATAAACCTAGGTGACAATATTCCACTTCGCCCAAATCTCATTAAACCTCTTCTAGGTGATATTTTCATAAACAAATGATCACCCACTTCAAAAGATAGAGGTCTTCTTCTCTAGTTAGAATAACTCTTTTGTTGGTTTTGAGCTGTAATCAATCTCTTCCAGATGAGTGCCACTTTCTCGGTGGTCTCACGAACTAACTCAAGTCCAAGTATGGATGAATCCCCCACCTCAGTCCAATACACAGGTGATCTACACGAATGCCTATACAAGGCTTTCAAAGGTGCCATCTCAATGCTAGCTTGATAACTATTATTGTAGGCAAGTTCTGCTAGAGGCAAATGCCTCTCCCTAGAACCCTTGAAGTCTAAGACACAAGCTCTCAACATATCTTCTAAGATTTGAATGGTACATTTAGATTGCCCATCAGTTTGAGGGTGATAAGCAGTACTAAAGGTCAACTGGGTATCCATAACACTTTGTAAGCTCGGCCATAACAATGCGGTAAAACGAGGGTCTCATTTGAGATGATGCTCACCTGAACCCCGTGGAGTCAAACAATCTCTCTAACATAAAGTTCAGCCAAATAATCAATCGAATCTCCCATACACGTAGCAAGAAAATAGGCCGACTTAGTTAGTCGATCCATAACAACCCAAATCACCTCATTACCTCTTTGTGTTCTAGGAAGACCTGAAACAAAATCCATAGTGATGTGCTCCTACATCTATTCAGCTATAGGCAAGGGTTGCAATAATCCGGCTGGTTTCTGGTGTTCTGCTTTGACTTGTTGGCGCATTCGACACTTGGACAAAAACAAGGTCACATCTCGCTTCATATCTCTCCACCAAAATTGACGACTAAGGTCACGATGCATTCT